TCACAGTTTAACAGCCCACAGCAACCCAGCACAAGAGATCAGTGCATTGTTGGTTTGCAGGGTGCACACAAGAGCTGATGTTGGAAGTGTCCACCATCTTGTTACTGGGACAATCTACCTAGCACTAATGAAGGTGACACATCTCTACGGTACTAGGAAGTTAGTAGATCTAGCAGTGAAGGCGTGTCTCCATCTGCCGCTTAGCCATTGATTTGAAGAGTTAGAGACATTGGTGGAGGGAGAACAATGGCCGTTTTTACGCAGCCAGGGTTACAGTGGAGGGGAGATCTCGGAAACATGAACGGCTCCATCCAGACCCACGGAGGCTTGCTGGAGAGAGGAAAGAATGAAGAGAGATAATTCAACAAGAGCACGACAGCAGTACAAGAGCTCTTCTGCAACAAGAACCTGCAGACAAAGAGAAGGAAGTGAAAAGATCAGCCCGAGAGAATGGATGGAAAATCCAGGGAGAGACGCTGGGGAGGTGCATGAGAGGAGGGATTCTAAAGCCCTTTTCTAGTACCTAAACATCACAGGTCTCGAACGTTTGTGGCATTGGGAAGGCCCGAGAGGGTACAATGTTAACCCCAGAGGAAGGACAGAGAGTCGGCTGCGTTGTGCTCAGCCAGCCAGAACCGCTATCACACACCCAGAGATGGGAAGAACTAGAAACTTACCTATGTCCCTAGAAGCAATCACCTTTGAGGAAGTAACTAAGGCCATAAACCAATTGAAGGGTGGTAAAGCACCAGGCTATGTGGGATGGAGGGTGAACGGTAAAGAGCTGCAGAGGAGGTGGGTGTGCAGGACAGTTTGGGATAAGGAGATCTGTCCCATGGACTGGAGAAGATGTGTCATGGGGGACCAGCTTATTTGTGACAGCTGGAGACGGGGGAGCCTCCTGTCTGGACCCGGAGAAAGTCATTTTTAATAGGATGAAAACTGCTGGTGGTGGAGAACAGGCTGGATTTTGTTCCGGTTGGTTGTGTTCAGAGCAGATTTCCCCCTTGAGGAGACCCGGGGAGAGGCTTAGAATCTCAGCAGAAGATGGTTTTTAACTTCCTTGATAAACACAGATAAACCCTCTGGAAGATCCTCAGGGCTTGCCCACACACAGCGCTGTGTAGGAGAACTTCTCCCGTCAGCCCAGAGGTCCTGGGAGAAGCTGCTGTCTGCCCCAGGACTGCCTCAGTCAGGGGTGTGGATTTCCAGGGCTGAGCAACGTATTTACACTGATGTGAGGCTGTAGTGTAGACCAGTGCTTCTCAAAGCCGGTCCGCTGCGTGTTCAGGGAAAGCCCCTGGCGGGCCGGGCCGGTTTGTTTACCTGCCGCGTCTGCAGGTTCGGCCGATGGCGGCTCCCACTGGCCGCGGTTCACCGCTCCACTGCCAGCACATCCCTCGGCCCGCGCCGCTTCCCGCAGCCCCCATTGGCCTGGAGCGGTGAACCGCGGCCAGTGGGAGCTGCGATTGGCCGAACCTGCGGACGCGGCAGGTAAACAAACCGTCCCAAACCGCCAGGGGCTTTCCCTGAACAAGTGGCGGCCCGACTTTGAGAAGCACTGGTGTAGACCAAGCGGGAGATGCTGTGAAATCCCGGCAAAGATCGCTAATTTGATCAAAGCTTTGATGAGCCTGCATCAGGACAGAGCGGAGACACAGAATGGTTAAAGATTGTTACTGCTCTGAGGCAAGGGGGCGTCTCTTCTGCACGGTCACAGACTGTGACAAGAAGGGGGATGGCTGCTGGCCAGACCTCTGGTATCATTTGGGCTGGAGATAAGCTGCGGGACTTGGATTTTGCAGATGACATAGTCATCCTGGATACCAGCTTGGATGGAATTAAAAGATTCTTTTTGAGCAAAAGTGGGACTCCGTGTCAGTACATGGAAGACCGAGACCAAGGAACAAGAGAACGCTGTCCGTGCTGGCCGATGTGTGATTGATGGAGAAGAGTACGGAAGAGTTGATGACTTTGTCTATCTTGGAAGAACAATATCTGCTAACAGCAGCTCACTACGGCGAAGGCAAGAATCGGCAACGCCTGTGGATCGTTCTCCCACTTGTCAACCGTCTGGAAGAGGAAGAAGATCCATCTACACGCTAACATGAGATCATACAATGCTCCTGTTCTCCCGGCACTACTGTACACCTCCAAAAGGTGGCTGAGGGTCCAAGTGCACAGCCGGACGCTGGGTGCACTCCACCAGTGTTGTCTAAGAAGAATCGTGAGAATGAGCTGGAGAGATTGGGTAGCCAACGTAGAAGACAGAGATGGTGACGGTGGTTTGGCCATGTCATCCGGCTTCCCTGTGGCACAATCACAAGGTCTGTCTTAGATTGGATCCCACCTGGAGGGAAGAGAAGGTGCGGAGGACACGGAACAGCCTATTGCAGTGAGATTGGAAAGGAGACCGCCCGCATGGAGTCAGACATCAGTCACCGAGCCAGCCGGGGGGAAACGGGTTGCCTCGTACGCCCAGGCACAGGAGGTGAAGTCTCAGTGGGTCTGAGTGAGTAGAGGAGACCCCAGAATACGCTCGGCTGGAGGGAGAATGGAATTTCCTGACCTGGGATTTTGCGTTGGCACTCAGTCTCAGAGGCAACACGCCAGGGGAAGTTTAGAGACCGCAGGTGGCCAGGAGCTGGGTGGTAAGTCTCACCTGGAAAAGAGTGGCCCGTATCCCCGCCATGCCGTGTTATTCAGACCCCCCCACACAGACTGCACTGTGGGTGACCCCCACCCCCCGGTACTCACTGGGCTCAGGGACAGCTGCAGCGTGGAGAAGAGGGCATGTGGCCGACCGAACGAGGAGCAACCACCGCCTACCAGACCTAGCAAGAGGATCACTGTGGGCAAAGCCAGAACACCAGTCCCTGGGCCCCCAAGCACTTGGTGCTCTGTGACATTCCCTCAAGAGCGGAGACCCGGGAGGTCTGCGTTTGGACACACGGACCTTTCAAGGCTGATCTCCCACGGTCACTAACCCTGCAGCCCCACAGATCCTACCACCCCTGCTTCCCCCAACCTCTCAGCATGCCTAGATCCTCCAGCCCCCTTTGCTTCCTGGGGCAGGTTGTTTTCTGAGAGCTGTGATCCGGCGTTTGTGTCATCAGAGTGCAAACCCCTCCACCTGCTCCATGTCCTTGCCCCTCTCTCTGCGCCCACCTGCCCTGTTCTCTCCCCTCTGCTCACTGCCCAGGCCCAGGCTGGCCGGCAGGGTCGGCATTTGGCCGCAGCTCGGTGGGGGCAACACTCGCAGCCCATCTGTCAGCCCCCTCAGGGAAGGAGGTTCCATTTATTGCCTGCCCTGGAGGCAGCCCAGCCCCTGGGATCAGGCCGTGGGTCTCTGCTGCTGGGGAGGGGCAGGGTGATGCTGACAGGCTGGAGGCCAACCCAGCCAGCCCAGCCTCGCCCCTGCCCTAGCAGGCCCTGCCCAAGGGGAGCTCGGTCCTGTGGCCTGTTCACACCCCGTCTCTGCGGAGGCTGCAGCAAAGGGCCCAGCTGGTGCCAAGAGCAGTGGGATCTCGCAAAGCGGCTGCTCTCCACTGACCTCCGGGTGACTCGCCTGCGCTGGGCCCCGGGTCAGCTCTGCAAAACCCACCAGCCCAGCTGAGCACGGAGGCCAAGGAGACAGAGCCCCAGGGCGGGACTCGCTCGGGCATATGGGCATCACCCAGCGGCTCGCCAACCTCCACCTGCTCATAGGACAGAGGCCTTTGGCCTCCGTGGCTCTCAGCCCTGCTCCTTTCACCGCAGCTGGACTCAACTATTCCACTGCAATAAACGCGGCGGTTTAGTCAAGAGCTGATGGTATTCCCCACATTCACCCAGCCTGGCCGGTGCCCCTCACTCCTGAACCGCAGCTGGGGAAACAGAGGCGCGGGACGGCGATGTGACTCGCACAAGCTCACACCATAAGTCAGTGACAGAACCAGGATTAGAGCCTGCGAGTCCCGGCTTGCAGCCCCCTATGATCACCCTAGACGACCCTGCCCCGAGCCAGAGCCTGCGTGTCCTGCCAGCAGCGATGCCCTCACTGCCACAGCAGAACCTTGCTCCTGAACGGGCAGCATCTTACTGGCTGGGCCAGTGAGCCCAGCACCCTGCTAGCCCAGCAGATGTGGATCAGCGCCTCGCAAGCGAGGTTCGGGATCTGTCCAGGTCACTTGCTTTGGGGCTGCCCCATCCAATCAGCCAGAAGTCCCCCATCGAGGGCGCTCTGTGGCAGCACCACCTGCCCCAGGAGCCCCAGGTGTGCATCTCCTTGCCCCTCCCAGGACTGGCGAGCCCGGCGTGCCAGCCAAGCTCGGAGAGGCCCCTGGAGCGGCCTTGCCTGGGGGCCGAGTCCTTCAGATGTGGAGACCCGAGGTGCCAACTTCAGAGCCTGGCTCCAGCGGCCCGCTCTGGGCTCCTGCCCCGTCAGAAGGAGAGCCCCAGCTCCTGCCAGGCGCCCAACTCTGTCGGGGGGATGCTTTCAAACTAACTTTCTCCCTTGGCCAACTGGAGCAACCGCCCCCCCCCCCAGGAGCCAAAACTGGGCTGTGCCCTGAGCCCCCTCCCCCCAGCCGGCTTGGCAGGCAGCGAGAACCGCTCTGCACGACGGGCCGCCCCCCAGGCTGGGCAGAGGGGAGCCCCTGCCGAATTGCGGGGGGCAGCGCTCCCGGGGCCTGGCTCACTTCGGGCCAATGGCGGAACCGGACCAAACTTTCGCAGCTCGCCCCAGCGGCAGCCGCGTTCGCGGAGCCCGGCCGCAGACAATGCCCCGCGGGACGCCCCGAGCGGCCTCTGGTCCCTGCCCGCGGGGTGCGGGACTCAGCCCGGCACCAGGGGAGCCAAGAGCCCCCCCAGGGGAGCTGCTCCCCGCCGAGTCCAGGGGAGCCTGCAGCGCCGGCCCCCGCGCAAGGACCCCCTGAAACGCGCTCGGGCCGCAGCGCGGAAAGGGCGCAAAGTAGCCGGCTCCCTGGGGCGGCGAGCCGGGGGGTCCCCTAGGAAGTTCGCCTCTCGCTCCCCGCTTAACAAAGAAGCCACCTACTCTGCTGGGCCATGCTGATGACAGTCTCGGTGGTGGCGTGGTACTCGTCCTCCTCCAGGTACTCGTCCTGCGGGAAGGCGTCCCCCTGGAAATCGTGCAAGTCCAGGATCTGCTGCAGCGGGGGCGCCTTGGGCAGCAGCTGGTTCACCACCTCCCGGGTGATGTTGGGCGCCTCCTTGAGCCGCAGCTTGCTCAGGATTTGCGACTTGATGCTCTCCAGCCTCATCTCCTTGCTGTGCTTCCGCCACAGGCAGACGGGGCAGCCCGGCTCCTCCGCCTCGGGCCCCGGGGGGGGCTGCCCGCCGCCGGCCCCTTTCTCCACCACCTCCCCCGGGGCCAGCGCCACGGCCAGCGCCAGGGCGCACAGGAAGAGCGGGGACCTGCGCACCGACATGGCTGGACGGCCGGTTCCCCTCCTGCCTCCCCCCGCCTCTGGACCTGGGGCTCGGGCGGCTGGGGGGGGGGCTGTGCTGGGGGCAGAGGTTCTCCGGGGCCGGCTGGGTGGGAGCCGGTAACTAGTGATGCTGGCCGGGGGGGGGAGGCAAGAAAGACTCGGGGTTTTATATCCCAACTGAACTGTGTCGTCAAAAGCCTTGATTGGCTGGGGACGCAACAAAAGAGCCTCTGGCGAAAGGCTGTCACCGGAGGGGAGCGAGCCGCGCGAGGGGGGCCCCGCTCCGCTCCGCGCCCGGCCCGGGGGAGGGGGCGGCCCCGGCAGCCCCTTAAAGAAACACGGACCCCCGGGGCGGGGCGGGGGGAGCTGCTCCCTGAACCCGCCCCGGGGAAC